AATGTAATACAGATTACAAGAACAACAAAAATTCAATAAATCAAGTTCTAGTTGGCAGTCATGTTGGTATATGTAGCTGCAATGTAAAGCAGTCTCATACCATAACCCAGATATAATGTAAGCTATATACATAACCAATTCATGTATATATATATATATATATATATATATATATATATATATATATATATATATATATACAACAGTGTCATGAATGAAAAAAAAATTAACTAGTTTGTTTTTTGAATTTTAATAATAAAGCAATAATGTATTTTTAAAAGAGAGTAATTAAATTTGCTTTTCATCCTCTTAGTACTCTTGCTTCGTGAAAAAGATTTCGCTTTCTAAAATTAAATGGTTGTGTCCCTAGGGCTACTTTGCTCCCTCGTAAGTACTTGCATGTTACTGCCCTTTGTGTGTATTCCCCCTTGTGGAGAAAGAACAAAATTATAGCTTTGTTGTTCTATGACGACTTGACAACTTATCTCCCTTGGCTATCACTCAATAGAATGTTGAGATTGTTTTTTTTTTAAATCAGACCTTGGCCAGTTCATAAAGTTAATGTTAAAATACATTTATAAATGGTGGCAAGTTCATGTGTACAAACATAGGGGTCCTGATATAAGACTTCTGTGTACATGTCAGTCAATCCTATCATAATTTGAATATCACCGAATTTGTTAGTTCTCATGTATTGAAATTATCATGGATAACAACTAAATGTTGGTGATTGTCAAGGAATGTCCACATATTTTTATTTAAGTTAACAAAAACAATTATGAATAATAACTTCAATCTATGGTTAATAAAGTTAATATAAAAATACATTAGATAGTAAAAACTGAATTGACAAGTGTGTGAATAACTAATTAACCATATTAACCACACAAGATCTACAAACAATTTTACTGATGAAATGTTATTTAATCTCTCAGATTCAATTATTAAACTTGTATTATTTTTACTTCAGTAATTTTATCGTCTAGAACTTTGAATTACAAGTGACAAATATTGCCCCAGGAAGTTTCAAAATCAAATTTGTCATAAGTTGTAAATAAAACTTGTCATGTGTTATATTGCAAAATAGTGAATTCAAACTTCTGTTAAATTAACACGTCTCCTTGCCATAACTGTTTATGCCACCACTATCCCACTCATTGTTTTTATGCCATTACTCTCTAGTGATTGAAACTCAACTGTCATTTTTTCATTTTTCTTTCATTATTTTGTTTTTATTTATCTGATTAACGCATAGTAACCTTTTGAAAACCATAGTTAATCATTGACAACTTTCACAGAAAAAAACCTGCTTAAATTTGTCCTTGCTATCTCAACAAGTCATCTAGTCAATGAGAAGTCATGACCGATTGAACAAAAATTAACCAGGGTCTTGATATTCACCTTGTCCCGTGGTGAGGCCAACCATTCTACTCTGCAACCACTTGTTGATTATATTATACTTATTGAGATTAAAGGTCAATGCCAACCTTTATTCTAATTTATTGACAATAAAAGCATCCGAATTCTGTCGTTAAATTTGAAGTGTGATATCTCATGCTATTGTTGTTTAGTTTATTGTTTAGTTGTGATGTTAGGTTTTATTATTAACCTTGATTTTATTATGCTATGAAATCAACACATAACTGTGGTTCTATACAAAGTCAGCTGCCAAGTCAATTCAGCGAGATTTTACTGAGCACTACCATTTTGAATGACTGCTATAAAGTCAATAGTCTGTCACCCAGTAAATTCTGTGTGATTATATATGTAATGTTTATCACAGAAATTATAGACACTAAGTCGACATTGCCATACGTCCTACAAAATACCATAGTAGCATTCCATATAAATCAGTTCAGCAGAGGGCTTTGGTTACTATGGTAACCGAAAGCCTGGGGATAATCAGCAGGTCTGCATTGTTTATTGGGTATTTGTTGCCAGGTTCGTCAAATCGCCGTTATTTGGCAGCTTTTCAAAATTAGCAATCATAACTCTGTCACATGTTGTTAAGTATGCATGAAATGACATTTATACAGCAATTAAACTGCTCAATTTATTCCTGGTTGTCTAAATTTCCTGAAAGTATTTCATAAATGGCGTGACTTCATTATGAAATTAATTATCAGTTTACAATCCCTGGTGCGGAGAGGGTAACAATTACTTTAAAGACTCAATTGACCCCCCCTTCTCTTCTTATTCCCCATCCCTTAATTCTTCCATAGCTCATTTGCAAGTTGCACATGGTTGATTAATCAATCTCAAAATCCATATTGTTGCTGTATTTAGTAATATATAGGGGAAGTCAATGTACCAATTGGTAGTCTATGTGTGTATGTGCCATCACCTCAAAATTAATAATACAAGAAAAATCCAAGCAGTACAATAGTTGTGCAGCACTTTATTGTATGCATTTCTTGTAAACGTACAATGGATTTGTTAAACACTTGTTGCATGGGACCAATAAGATTTAAGAATGGTGAAGTCTAACACACATTTGTTAAACACTTGTTGCATGGGACCAATAAGATTTAAAAATGGTGAAGTCTAACACACATTTAGGTCAGGAATTTCCTGAAACTTTTGCAAAATATTCTTTTTGATTGACTGTATTTAATTCTGGAGGCGTTTTTTAATTATGAACCACAATTGTCACCTTTTAGCCTATTTTCCCGAGTTAAAATGTAGGGATTAATTCTATGGGGAAATCTCAGTTTTTGTTTCCATAGAAACAAGTTCAGTTTTTCCACAAATTTTTATTTGTTTTTTATTTAATGGAATCTTTCACCCAGCAAAACATCAAGAATTTGTAGTGTTTCCACATTTTTACCTACTTAGCCACATCAGCAAAATTTTGCAAACGTGACACGTGTCTTCAAGACCCAAATTAATATTTCACTATTTTCCAAAATTAAGGCACCTTACGGTATACACATACTCAGTATATAAGGTAGAGGGTATGGCAGCACAATATACAATGGATACTATGGTTGCTAAGGTAATAAATACAAGGAAAGTTGTGTGCCAGATCAACTTCCTGTCAGAATGTCATGTCAAATTACCTCTTGTTTATTACAACCTAAATCTAATATTTTGCACCATGTATTGTCAAAATAATAATTGTCTTTTGAGGTTGAATACACCTGAGTATTGCTTCAAACTGTGCTGACTTCAGGGTTATTACCCCCACTTTATTTGGTTGAATTGTCTATTCTTTCAAATCACTGTTTGTACAACTGTGTGCATGTAAAGACTACTTGCTATAAAGATTTGGTTGAGTAATTGAGTGTGTGTTTGTGTACGGACAATGTTAATTACATCTAGAGCAACCACGTTTTCAGGATACTGACCTTTTAAAATTAGAACAGATGCTCTGAAGTTGTTCTTATATACTATTTTTTCCCAAATATTTTGAATAAGCTTTGTGTGCTTGTTCTCACTTTTGAATTCTATATCAGACGAGGTGTTTTTCAATTCAAAATGGCCTCTAAAGTGGGGAATAACACTTTTAGAAAGTCATTGTTTCCATGGAAAGGAGTAAGCACAGACCCTTGGATTATTTGCATTATGTCATTGGTCAGTTAAACTTAATCTGTATGCTAGTAGGTATGCTCTGACTAAATCCACATCATATAGATGAGCTTAATCCGGTGAAATGAACAGTTCCTGCAGTCATGTTATCCCTCAATTCATATTGATGCCATCCTCACCAACAAAAAAAACATGTGGCAATCACAATCTTTGAATATTGTAATAAGTGACTTTTGATTATGATTTCAGCCTGTATGGATCATCACATGCGTCAATTTAAAACCGACATTCACACATTTTTATGCAATTTTGCGTATCGATAACATGCGTTATATACGATAGAATGGGGAAATGTTTGTTTACTGTTTCAGAGGATGTCAGTCGGACTAATTTTAATGCATGTATTCAAAAACATTATTTAATAAATGTGAAATGTTGAACATATATCTTACCGTTAGGGTATTAATAAATGTTGTCGGCGTCTGGTAAAAACACCCTGGGCTTACCTGGGTATACTCGGGGGATACTCTCAACTTGTTAAATGTCTAAAAACAGAGGGGTTGGCTTATATTCAGGGAGAGGCTTATGCTTGAAGGAAAGTACATGTACGGTAAATAATCTTAAAACGCATAATTTTTTCAATTTAAGCTAGAACGAGCAGCAACACTTTTTTTTTGTCTAAAATGAAACCCAGAATCTTGTACATGTATCCTTAAGAATCAAGTACATGTTGTTTCAAACCTTGCTGTATCTATAAGAGAACACTTACAGAGCAATACATCTGTTGACATTTAATGTTTGCTTAAACAGTAAAGGTCATTAACATACAATACGGACAATCAATACTTTTTATTTATATGCAAATTGACAATTTATTAATTTCCTTGGGCGAACACTTGAAGCTATGAATGGTAATGGTTTGAAAACTTGTGTAGTTTTTAGAGGTCATCTGATTAGATTTTATTGTAGAAAACTGATATTCAGGATGTAAATCATGCACTTGAACTGTTATCTGACTTAAATGGGGGATGATACATGGCCAAGGGAGTGATAAATGATCTTTTTTTATTTTATCAATGAATTATAAGATAAAGGTATGCAACTTTGAAATCTATGTAAGGTGATATATGATGAATAACTGATTCGATAAGGTGCATCAATCGAATGCATTTCTAACCACAGAGCACAGTGAACGCTTTGATTCAGGCTAGATTATCGCTGTATTAAAAAAATAATAAAACGAACGTAATACCTGCCTTGCGAATAAGCAAGTAGAACATAAGGCAATTTTTTTCATAAACTCATTTATTTATATTAGTATTTCTAGAGATGTATCTTTGTGGCATAATTTTGTGAGGATTTCGCAATTTATATGAAATCTTCGGCGCACATTACCACGTACCTGCGTATTAATAACCCTCCTTTTATGAATCCTTGATTTTCTATATAATGCAAATGTAATTTATTTTCAGAGAGAACAACTGTTACGAAAAGAAAAGGAAGATGAAATTTATCTTATAAAGCACTCCATGGGGACTGAAATGAGGCCAGCAACTGCACCAGGTTCCAGAGCGCATTCTTCAATTGGCAAAAGTTATGATTTTGGAACACTAATGGACACTGATAGTGGTATCAGGTAAAAAAATATATTGACTATACGTCTTTTACCTCAAGGAACACGTATACCTTTAATCACTATATACTAATATGGTAATGGATTCTTAAGTTTAAACTTTTCCCATATTTTCACAAAAATGTCAACCTGTAGCCAAATGTTTTGCCCTATTTGGTTATTAAGCTTGGATGTCAGTGTCATGGTCACACACAGATCTGACAGAAGGTCACCCAGTGTGTTGTATTTGGTATTATTCATATAAAATTGGTTTCTAAATTTGATTTTTGATATAAAGTATTGTAAACTGTGCCCGCAAGAAAGAATGAAACAGCAATATAGCAGAATGAGACACTGTTGTTGTCACTATCAATTTTTGTTAATTGTCGATGGCATTTGTGACGATGACATTTCATGACATTCACTATGACTTGTGTCTTTAATAGTAAAATATTTACATAATTTAGTGGTTACTTACTCCCGAAAATAAAGTTGTCTACAATTGAACAAAATTTTGAACTGCTCATCCTGCCAACCAGTATTTCTGGAAAATACAACATCCTGAGATGTACTACTGTGAATCTTGTTATTTTCTGATTGTATTTGTATACTTACATTTGCTGCAAATAATTTTTAAACCACTATTTCCATATACTATGTATCTTAAGACCTGATTTGTAACATGGAGTTATGAGACGTGATTAAGTGGAAATTGGAAATTTGATTAGAATCTTAATAAATCATATGAAATTATATAATGAGAAATACGATTTGCAGGATTTTTTTGTTCATTGCAACATTACCGATAATCAATATTTATAAGTCACTTGAAAAAATGGTTTACCGTCCAAAGTTGAACAAAAAAAAGGGTCAGTCTGTACTCAGAGTGAGAGTGCTACCAGTACATACTCAGTGGAAGGCCAAACAGTAATACATGTATGGGGGAACTTTGACGTCTGCAGGTGCTTGTATATGACTTGGTTGATGCCAGGATAGTGCTTTAAATTGCCATATTGCCATTCTATGATAAGATAGCACACACACGCCCATATCATTTAGTCCCAAGTAAAATACAGAAAAAAAAAATATCATAGAAATGGTTTCCATGGTATCAATCCTCTATATTTACATTATGTTTTGGAAACTGACACCTGGCAATCTGATGAATATTTAATTAGTAGTTGGATTTCAATTCATTATGCGGCACACTATCTAAAAAAAAATAACATAATATTTGTTTGGATCTGTTCGTGCATATTTTTCCTAAATTAATGCATTGTTTAATTAACCAGTAACGGTATAACCAGTAACGGTATAACCAGTAACGGTATAACCAGTAACGGTATAACCAGTAACGGTATAACCACTGTGATGCAACATATAAATGACCATCATCTGTACAATGCAGCGTGTTACCATCGCAAGTAGGAAATGACGCTCAAAATAGCAATTTTTATTATCATTGAGAGGCTATGTTGTTTAATGACTAAATACCACATAATTAGTCGATGCGAAGCAACAAAATGCAGACAAGGATTTCATCGCGTCCAAATTTGCACCATAGACAACTTTATAATAATGCGTGGCATTTATTGGATGAGTTAGCAGCGTCAATTAAAAGGTAGATTGTGTTTAATTATTAAAGAATGGCAGTCGTCTCACAGTGTAGTGTTCGATATGGATCCTATATGATCTATACAATGCTTAAAAGTGAAATTCCACCTCTAAATGCATTTTTCCCTGCAATGCCACCTTAAATGAAATTTTGAATGCACACTGCAATATCACTGATGCTTACTTACATCTGTGGTACTGCAAATCATTCGATTTTTGTAACCAGGAATGTCCTCAATAATGTCATGGCAACAACAGGGAGTACATTTCACGATCACAGGTTTTTAGACAGAGTCTAAAAAATTGTATTCAAGTGTCACTGCTATGTTGTTTTAAAAAAAATATGTTTCTTGCGAAAATAACACTGTTCAAAGTATTTTTGGAAGTTTTTTTATTTTTTTTATTTCTCAGTGTTCATAACATGGCAACATATGGCACCTAAGTGAGATATTATTGTTTTATTATCAATTACCAGACAGTCATCACACAGTAATTATTTGATATTTTTCAGTAATGGCATGTCAGCTAGAAGTCTAAAATCCCCAATGGGAATGGCACCGCATATGGTCAACTTTGATGACTCTTTAAATAGTAGCCGCCATGACTACCAGAGGATGTCGCCTAGGCGACCCTCTTCCCCTTCACTAGGCGCTGATGCAACCAATTGGGGTGGATCTCACCGATGTCAGTCAAGGGGTTGAAAGATGCGTTGCATGACAGTGAACAGAGACGTCTAGCGTTGGTAGATAAACTTAGAGATGCTCATTCCTCATTAAAGGTATATTCTATAGAAATTTTTATTGGTAATTTTTTGCTTTGGAGCGAGTTTGTAATTATTAATCATACTATTGTGTAAACTTGTAAAATGCAACCTATTATTATTATAAAGTCATTATTGTTTTGTTTTTTTAGATCCAAACTCAGAGACTGTGTGAGATGGAGGCTAAATTAACGGAGCGTGAATTCGCTGTTGAGAACTTTTCAACCACTCAAGAAGTGAGTATTGCATTTGTAGTTGCCATTCAAAATACCGGTAACACCAGTGATTATTGGAGCTATGCTATCAACAGTTAGGAATCTACCTTTATTTGTGATTGACGCAGGGGATTGTTTTTGATAGACAAGGGAGGCAACTTATTAGGATTAAACCATTATTTTTGGTGGGCAGTGAAAGCAGCTTTTTTGGATTAAACCATTGTTTTTAATGGGTAGGAATGGAGTCTGTAAGTCACTGATCTGTACATATAGCAACCAAACATTTATGCTAACTTTCATGCCACAAGAATATTTATTTGAATATGTAAGGTCTTCATAATCTGGAAATAGAAAAAGATAGACACACAAAAAAAAAAACCTAGTAAAAGGCAGAATATTAATTAATTGAAGTTTTATTGTTAGAAATATGATACTGTAAAAAAACATTCTTTAGTAAAAATCAAAATTTCATCAGAGATGAAAAACAGTAAAAATCTATTCACATATTTACTTTCAAGTAGAGATTATTATGACTTTATTATTATTAATTTAACTTACTACCGGTATATATGTAAAACAGAGAGGCCCTAAAATATATATTATTTAGTTATATACATTCTTTTATTAACTATCACTTTTTATAAAATATCATTTTTTGCTACAACCCAATGTAAATTTTTTACAAGAAGGCAATAAATTATTATTAGATACTATTTCATACTATAACATGGGATCCTAAGATAAGGATACTTGTATACAACTCAGATATCCATGCACTGTGATTTATAATGAAGATCACATTTACTGCTCCATGCTCACATTGATCAATCTCAACCAATGGCATCACAGCATACCATTTGATTAGAAACGTTTGATTCATGTCAGCAGAAATGAGCAAGGTTATCGTCAAAATACATAATATCCGCTCTTCAGATACATGAGAATATTAGATAAAAAACTGTAAAATCATTTATTTTCACTGATATTTTATTGTACTATTTTGATGTTTCGGGCATATTCACTGTGTTTTAATTTCTTGAATTTGTAAAGGAAACATTGAGTTTTATTGTTTTTTTACATGTTCATGTTATATTTAATTTAGCGGATTTTACTTAAATTAAAACCCAGTGATTAATTAATGCATTTACAGTAGTCTGAAAGGAACGCTGAAACTTTCCTACACAGACTCACTCATTTGAATTTTTGTCAACATCTCACATGACTTCTGTTCAAATAATTTGACAGTTTTATTGAGAAAAGTTTTCATTTGCTGTTAGTAATTTCAATATAAATTTTTAGATTTCTTTGACTTTGATTTCAAATATTCATTCTGTAAGTAATTTAAACTTTACCTTAGCTCAAGTCAAATGTGAGTTACCGATAGTTGAAGTAATTGATTTAATTATATTTTTTTCTGTAGAGTTAACTTTCAATTAACTGCTTCTCAATGCATTGTTGTAATCTTGATAAAAGGGTGAGGGTTGATTGATTGCCGAATGAAATAATAATCAATTCTTGTTTTTTTTGACAACTCTTCAGTAAAAGTACTCCGAGGGTTAAATGTAAATTTGACCTTCTTGATATTGTCTTCACAGGTCAACATTGTTTATTGCAACATGCATTTCATTCAGTCTTAATTAGTTTGCATCCAAGCTAGTAGAAGTATATTATAAAATACTTTATTTTAGCTGGAATTAATTTTCGCTGAAAAGACTTTTTGGATGTTTTGTATGGAATTTATTTTCACTGATTT